TAACTTTCGCGAGGCGGGGTGAAGCTGCCCGGCGGTTCAAAACGCGTGTTTGGGTTGTTTTGGTTCCCCCCCGCCGGAAAGGTTGGGCTACAAAGTGCCGGCACGGCCTGTGGCACTGTGAGGGGTGTGTGGAATCACAGAATGGTTCGGGTTGGAAGGGACCTTAAACATCATCCAGTTCCGACCCCCTGCCCTGGGCAGGGACACCTCCCACCAGACCAGGTTGCTCCAAGCCCCATCCAGCCTGGCCTTGAAACCCTCGAGGGATGGGGCATCCAAACCTCCACTGGGCAACCTGTTCCAGTGTCTCACCACCCTCACAGCAAAGAATTTCTTCCTGATAAATTTGTCAGCCGAGATCAAAAATCCTTCTGTTCCTGCCGCAGCACAGAGTTCTGTGTGTAGAGTCTGTACCAGCTTCTCCCGCCACCCCCTAAAGATACAAACCACTTCTTATGTCTTAGCTCTCTAATTTTAGTAAAACCATTTCAGCAAAACGTGTTACTGAGGTGATGTTGGAAGCTTCCGAGATGTGGCCAACAAGGATTTCTAATACTTTCATACCTTATAAAAATGCCAAAAGGAAGGTTTAGTGCTATGGCTCTCAGAGCTCTGTCTTTCCACCTCCATCCTTAAGGTTTTGCTTTTATCTCTTTTCAATATTTTCTCCTACTGAAAGTATTAAGAGTCAGGGGACTGCCTGTCTGTACTGAGTGTTTAAGACCAGACGTGAGCATGTTGCTTATCCAAATGTTTTCTTTCAACTTCTCTTCCCAGCTTACCAGAAAAGACCAAGATGAGTCTACGGAAGCAAACCCCAAGTGACTTCCTAAAACAAATCATTGGGAGGCCAGTTGTTGTAAAATTAAATTCTGGAGTTGATTACCGAGGTAAGTTCTCCATCTGTCTCTCACAGTGACTAAAGTAATTGTTTGGGGAGGCTGGAACAGATGCATTGCTTTTGAAAAGCAAAACAGTGGGATCCAGAATCTTGGAGTATGTGAATATTGATCTCAGAATGGTAACATTAAAAATTGAAAAATCAGGTTTGGAGAGACCAATTAAAAGAGATTACTGGTGGACTTAGAGATAAAATTACTTATCTAAATCATTAGTTTCCTTAGTCACAGATGGTTAGACTGGAGTCTCAGGATTATTCTGAGTTTCTAAACTGGTATTTGTAAAGATTGGCTGGAATTACAATTCCTGAAACAGCCAAGCAGTCCCTGGTTTCCAACCGACCCTTGTTGGAACTTCACTTTTCTTCACCTTCCTGTTCTCCAATTCCTAGTAGAGATCTTGGTCCAGAAAAGCTTCAAACAGAAAACTGTGCTATCAGTCATAAGCCTGCTCTTATATGAGGGATTAAAGAGTTATTTACATTCTTGGTCAAACAACTGCCTACACACATGTTGGGTCAAGATTCATGGAGGTACAGGAGAAAGCTTATTGCAACTTCTCTGTTCAATGAAATGTCCTGATCCTGTCCTATTAGGACATTTCATTGATCCTGTCCTATTAGGATGAGACTATCAGCCTGTCCAGCTTTTTTAGTAGTATCCAAACCTAATTAAAGCTATCATGTATCTCCTATTGTGCACAATTTAGACATTTTATTCTGAAATGACTTAAACATTATAGTACTGCTACAGATAGCTTAAATTCAATTGGTTCAGCACTTGTGAGAGAAGATTTGTTTATGCTGTGACAAGCAGTCTTTGTATTGCAACAGTTTTAAATTGCTATTATTCACTGGCACAGCAAGCAGTGCCTTCTTACCCCTTCCTTTAGTGTCTCTCAGCTTACAAAATTTGCCATCTGTCACTTCTTTGAGAACCACATTGTCTGAGCATTTCAGGTGGGGTTGGTGGCTTTAAAAACTTCACTGCTTCTCATCAGTATTTGGCCTCTGTAAATTCTTTCCTGGAGGAGAACGTAGCAACAGCTCATTAAAGTCAACTAAAGCAAGTCATCATTTACCTAGAGGTGTATACAAGGCAGGACCAAACCAATTTTGGCTTTTGGATGCACTTTCTGCTTTCTTTGAGAACACCGGTACCTTCTGCTCAGCAAGATCCATTTGTAACTGCTACTCTACTTTCCCCTCAACAAAGCCAGGTTAACATGCCTAGAGGCAGACCTACCAGAAATTGAACCATAGTTCCTTTGAACACCCTTATTTGTTTTTGGATTTCCCCCCCCTCCTTCCCTTATATCCCTCCACTCTCCTTCCTTCCCACTTGATGTGATTCTGCGGTTAAAAAACCATATACTGTTCTCATCTGTAAACCATGCACTCTGTTTTATGCAGAAATTTGACCAACATTTTTAAAAAATGAACATTAAAAGAGCCAGCGTCTCAGCCATTTGTTGCAGATGTGTCTAGATTTCCCCTCTAGACAGCGTTGCTAATTTTATGTCTGTACCTCCACCCTCTGAGCCACCATAAGCACAAACGTGGCCTAATACAAGAGTTGATGTGTAACTAAAATATCTTGATTTGCTGCTAAGTGCTGCACACGTCTAAGGGAAGAAGCCCCGAGAAAGTAATCAGTGATAAATTAATATGTATTATTTCTGTGTGTAGAGTTGGATATATATATGAAAACATCCCTACATATAGATAAGCCAGATAAAATACTAACCAGGATGGGCAGTGACAATATTTAATTCCATTAACGGCCTGAGAGTAAACACAAAGAAAAGGAGGAAGAGAATGAGACAACCATGAACACACTCCCAGAAAAGAGTTTGCATTTATGGCCTGAGTGGTTGCTTAAGGAAATCCACACAGCCCAATTTTCATTTTGGACATGTATTTTTTTTTTGTTCTCTATTGTTATGTGGAGCACTCAGGATTACTGAGGTGAAAAAGAGTTCTGACTTTTCCTTGGTTTGTTTTTTTTTTTTTTTTTTTTCCTCAGTGTATCAGTGAAGTGTGTTTGAGTGAGTGGGTGCACAGCTGTGATGCAGCCATCAGAAGGCCTTCAACACACTGGACAAACTACAACCCACAAGAAATTTTTTCTTTTTTTTTTTTTTTTTTTTTTTTTGATGCATTTAGTAACACTTTGTGAGCAGTCAGTTTTTCCTATGTGTGTGGAAACAGTGGAAAGAAAAACATAAAGGAAAATAATAATCCTCAGACCATTACAGGTTGGCAGGAGAACTTGAATTCCTAATTATTTCATGGAAGATATTACAGTAACACTTTTGAAAAATGAAAGCATGTCCTTGAGGATTCTCAGACTGGAGTTTCTTCCTCTCCCTGAGTACAGCCAATACACTGTATTTTGAGTTTTAATGCCAGGTAAAAAATTAGATGTTTTTCAAACAGAGGAAAAAATTATTTTGGTAATATTCTCTGTGTGTGCAAGGATGAAGTCAGGAAAACACATGCAAGATGGAGATAATTAATATAGCTTTTTACAAGTTGTTTTGTGCACGATTAGCAAATCAGGTTCTCTGATTTGCTAACTCTTTACACCTGTTAATCCCCACATTCAGCTCCTTACCAGCTGACAAGAAGAATTTATTTGTTGATCAGTTAAATCTGTAGACCATCATGGTTCTGATCTTAAGGGTGGGTGTAGACACCAAGGGGTGATTTTAAATGAAAAAATGCTATCGTGCTGTATTAAATATCATCCTGCATTAAAAGGGTTGTTTTTCAGCTTCATTCTTAACAAGTTTTGATGGAAACTCAATTTACTTAGCCTTGTCCTTAGGTTATGCAGTTACACTTAACGTCACAGGTTCTTTTCAGGTGTGTGGCTTAAAACACAAGTGAGAAGAGACACCTTCCAACTTTTGAAGTGGAAGTAGTCAATCGTTTGCAAGTTATGCCTTAATGACTTCTTTCCCACTCCCCAACCCCCCCTTACATTAACTGATAAAAGTTGCTACTGGAGTTCCTCACTCCTGGCTTAATTCTTTGAAGAATACTCTGATCTACTGACTCACCTGGACAAGCTTGGGCTTTTCATTCGTTATGAAGATACAGGCTTTTCTGTGTCCAATCACAATGCATTTTTGTTTATTTTAAAATGAGTTTAAGCTGATTCACTTTCAAACTGTCACTGTCTTCAGGTGTCCTGGCTTGCCTGGATGGGTACATGAATATAGCTCTGGAACAGACTGAAGAATATGTAAATGGACAATTAAAGAACAAGTACGGGGATGCATTTATCCGAGGAAATAATGGTAACTCCTCCTCTTTATGTTATTGATAATGAGAAGATTGTGTTTTAATATTCTGCATTTGAGGAGTGGCTGAGGTGTTGGCAAGCTGCCTGTAAGAATATTAGCTTTAGGCTTTTTTGGAAACCTTAACATCTTTACTTTTTACAGTGCCTATGTTTTCTGCATTCCTGTGGCCCTTTTTGTCTCTGAACTGGAAGTTCATTTAGAGAAACATGCTCTTTTCTAACCTTCTTTAGGGCTTATTTCCTGTCATTTGACAGGTTTACTCTTTTGCACTTACTGCCTGCTTAGATGGCCTCTGTTCCAGAGAAGTTTCTGTGTTTTGCAAGGCAAACTACATTTGTGATACAGAACAGATAATGATAACACTATAATATTTTTCTTGTGATGCAGATGTCCAGACCTAAATTAATACTGTTCATTAGACTGAAGGCTGTTTTCATCTTCATGAGTAAAGATTTTACCGCCATTCAAGAAAACCACTCGTAATTTACTATTGAGTCTTTGAATATCCCAGTGCAGTAGGTGAATTTTATGCATTTCAAGGACAATCCCAAGCTCCTGAAATGCTTCTGGTATCAGTTAGGCTGTAATAGCAGGACATGCCAGGGAGAAGAATATCTAAAAATAGAGAAGGTTCACAAGTCAGATGCAAAGAGACTTGTAGACAAGGTAAATGAAGCAGAGCTTGTCCAAGTTACTTGAGAAGAAAATGGGGGACAGGAAGGAGGGAGGGAATAAAAAGAAACAAGAGCCAAATCCCATGCTACAAAAAGTCAAAGAGAATGTGGCAGCAGTGTGAAAAGGCATTCTGGGAGGAGAAATAATCCTTGAATGAGGCCAGATGCTTTTTGCAAGGAATTTAGATTATTATACCAAGGAGTGCAGTGACATTACAGCTGGACAATCAGTTTTGGAAATAAGAATCTTTTACAAAAGTTAAAACTTTTGTTAAGTTAAAACTTAAAAAGAATCTACAAAAGTTAAAACAAATGAGAGGCAGGAGGCTGAAGAACAGGCTGAGCAGAGAACTTAAGGCATCCTAGGTCAGGGGTGTTTCATGCTGTGAATGGATCTCTTCTGGGGATGTCACCAGGCAAGCAGAGGGAAGAGTCTGCTGCTTCACAGACAATTGTTAGCTTTGCCTTAAGTGCTTGGGATTTCCAGCTTTTGTTTTGTGCATTAGTGTCTGACACCTGTAATTCTGCTGCTTAGAAACTCTCTCATGCCCCGTTCAGTAATGCTGCAGAGTAGCTGGCTTTATTCTTTTTCTCTTCAACCTGCATCTGCTGGAGTGTAGTTTGGCTATGAGTATAATAAATACTGAACCAAAGTAATACATAATGTGCAAATTTGATAGCATTTCTTGAAACCTAGACTTAAAAGTTTCGTTACTTTGTTCATGCTGAATGGGATTTGTAACACTGTCGTAGGAGCCATGGAAATAAGATGTTTGAAATGAACAGGCACATTATTTAGCAGGGCCCTCTTACGTGTGTCTCTTTCTCCTTTTCACAGTACTGTACATAAGCACACAGAAGAGGAGGATGTGAAGATGCCAGAAGGAGGCTGTTTTGTACTTGTGAACCTCTTCGAAGTGATGAACCCTATTTGAGCTGTAGTTTATAGCCCAAAGGTGAAATAGACAAGTGTTTAAATATATTTTTTTTTAAATAAATGTAAACCAATGTAAACTTCCTGAATGTTTTTGTTTCAAGGCATTGCTTTGTTCCACTGTACAGAAAAACAATAAAAGAGAAGCATGTAGTAGTGCCGCAAGACTAATTCAAAGCAACAGCTTGTTTAATTATGCTAACAGTTACAGAAAGACTGATTTGAAGGTAAGCAGGCATGGAGTAATTGCAAATCACAGCCTTGTATGGATGGCAAAACAACAGTTTTACTGATGTTGGGAAGGGAAATGCTAATGTTTTGGTTACAATGACCTGTCCCTTTTGGAAAACACAAGGTCAGCTTTAAATGCCAGTCTAGTAGGAGTCATCGGGTAAAAAGTTCAGCTGTCCAAAAAAATCTTGAATTGTGGATTGAATCAAGGGATGTAGCGGTGACACTTCAACAGTTAGGGGTGGGGAAAGAATTGAATCAACTGGAATAAAGCCCGAGGGGTGCAAAGAAGGCTGTGTGCCAGCTGAGGAAGTCAGCCACAGGTGAAAGGCTCACAGCTGGTACACCAACACAGCTAGCAGCTGCTTCACCCCCTGCCTCTCTGCCCCCCACCCTACCCCAGCTTGAAGTTACCTTTTTTTCCCCTGCACCTCTACCAAACACAATGGACTTCTTCAATAAAAAGCTATTTTAACTAATATCTAAAGCTACTCCTGAAAACAGACTAGGAATCTAAGAAGCTTTTGTAAACATGCCATATGTATCCTCTTCAGAGAGTTCTCTCTTTTCCTCCCATCTGCTTCCCCCCCAACCTAGTACCACCTATATGTGCTTTATCTTTATGTGCCAGAAATGAGAAGGACCACATGAAGCTTGTAGTATGGGGTATGCATTAGGGAGCAGGAACCTCTTTTCAGGCAACAGAGTCAGAACTTGTTTGTTTATATTTTGCAACAATGCTCCCAGATAATTAAAGCCCATGAGTAAATCCAACTCGGTTTCACATGGATACTTACACCAATTTATAAAATATCTTCTCTCCTTTTACATGCAGTCAGCCAAGAAAAAAAAAAACACACAAAAAACCAATGTTCAGATATTTCTTAGTCTGAGTGTTATCACAGTTGCCTGGATACTGAGGATGTTTCCTTGTTCCTCAAGACAAAGTTATAAGTTAGGGTAATGTACCTCACGGTCAGGTTATTTAGCCAGTTTTCTTAAATGAGTTTTCTGAAGCCCTGCTTTATTCTTTGGGCAGGAGTAGTGCCTCCAGGAACAAAAATACTTCCAGTTGAGGATGGATGAACACAAGACAATTGTGTGAATGCAACATGTATTCTAGATCATGAAGTCACTATTCACTATGTGAGATATATAAGAAAATTTGCATTAAAGATGAGCTGTTGTAATTCATATTCAAACTTCACAAGTAGCTAAAAAAATTAAACATTTAGTTCCCACAATCACTGACCGTTACGTACATTGTACTAGATTTTTCTTCCTTAATTCAGTTTTCAGCCCCTATATTTAAATCAAGTGAACATTTAAGCTTGACTTCAATTAGGCAGTCAAATATTTGGCTGTAGTGTGTTTTGAGTTGGATAAAACATTCATCTTGGGTTTATTTTACCTATCTTTTAGATTTTGTTTTGGCTTACTGTATTCTGTAGGACAACATACCAGTGGCAAGTAAATCAGACGCTGGCCAGGCAGCATTCAGAACAGCACATGGAACACTAACCACATTTTAAGGTGAGCCATCCCATTATGTATGTATGTAAACATCAAAGTAGAATGGTGTATTTCACTAACTTTTGATGCTTAAAAATGATTCAACCTAATTCACAAGATCTTTATCCCATTGGGAGATACAAATTCACTCTTACCAACACAATATATCTTCACACACAAAAAACTATCAGATACTAATGCTTATGTCCCTCATGTTAGCTTGTTCACCATATCCTAATGCTCTTGCCCCAACACCTGTGCATGAAATGGTTTTACTTGTGGATCAGGCTCATCTAGATCAGGACTGACAACAAAACATTCCGTGGGCACCTTACAAGTGCTCATCCATCCCTTGTCTCAGAGGAATGCACCCAAAATTAAGTAATCCAGAGGTATAAACAAGAATTAATTGAAATTCAAGACTAAAGCTGCTTTCTCATCCATAGTTAGTACTTCTATACAATGAGCACACTTCATGAAACCGAGGCCATTCAACCACTACCCCACCCCGCTTCCATGGGCTCAGTTCACAGGCTCTAGGAAGAGCACTAACTCTGGATTTGCTACCTCCCCACATCCAACTGAAGTTTCTTGCACTTGAAAAGCCAAACTAAGCCCCATCTCCTTAAACAGAAGCCTGGCTGGGAGGAGCTGCAGTACAGCATATCCCATGGAAACGAGAAGAAGCAAAGCAAGAAGGAGGTAAGTACTCACTGGGTGCTAATGCCCCAACACCTGTGCATAAAATGGTTTTACTTGTGGATCAGGCTCATCTAGATCAGGACTGACAACAAAACATTCCGTGGGCAGCTTACAAGTGCTCATCCATCCCTTGTCTCAGAGGAATGCACCCAAAATTAAGTAATCCAGAAGAATAAACCAAAATTAATTGAAATTCAAGACTAAAGCTGCATTCTCATCCATAGTTAGTACTTCCATACAATGAGAGCACTTCATGAAACCAAGGCCATTCAATCACTACCCCACCCCGCTTCCATGGGCTCAGTTCACAGGCTCTAGGAAGAGCACTAACTCTGGATTTGCTACATCCCCACATCCAACTGAAGTTTCTTGCACTTGAAAAGCCAAACTAAGCCACATCTCCTTAAACAGAAGCCTGGCTGGGAGGAGCAGCAGTACAGCATATCCCATGGAAACAAGAGGAAGCAAGCCAAGAAGGAGGTAAGTACTCACTGGGTAGTGGAGCAGCCAGAAGCCAGGTCACTACTGAAGGCTGTGGTGCCCTGGACTGCCCCTATATATAGGGAGCAGAGCATGCTGGGAAAGTTTTTCTTTAAAGGGTCTACACTGACGACCACTCAGCTTTGCAATTTGTTGCCACCTGTTTCCTAGTTCAAAGGGACTCAAATGCAAACAATTCTGAATGTTATTTGAGTTCTTTCTATCTTTTTATTCCCCCCCACTCCCAATGTAACAATGACAAAACAGCTACCCACAGCCCTTCTGGGTATGACTTGCCCATAACTCCTAAAACTCTCCACCCAGCTCTGAAAACCAGCTGTGCCCTCCAGCTGCAGGTTGGTGTTCATTGAACGTTGTTCATGGTGGTCAAGAAAGCGTGAAAGTGCATGGTGACAGCCTCCAAATGTTTGACTGATGGTACCAAAACAATGCTTGATCTTTAATATTCCAACCCCTTCCCCCAGCCAGCTCAAGCCCGGTTTTGAAAGCAAACAAACTGTGGAGGCAGCAGTTTCAAATTCTCAGGTTCCTGTGCCAAACTCTTCTCCACAGCTATGAAGTCGGATGGGAGGAGGCTTTTCCTGAGCTGCTGTATTGATCCTGACTGCAGGACCCTTGAAATTCATTGAACGTTGTTCATGGTGGTCAAGAAAGCGTGAAAGTGCATGGTGACAGCCTCCAAATGTTTGACTGATGGTACCAAAACAATGCTTGATCTTTAATATTCCAACCCCTTCCCCCAGCCAGCTCAAGCCCGGTTTTGAAAGCAAACAAACTGTGGAGGCAGCAGTTTCAAATTCTCAGGTTCCTGTGCCAAACTGTTCTCCATGGCTATGAAGTCGGATGGGGAGGAGGCTTTTCCTGAGTTGTGTATTGATCCTGAACCTGGGGACCCTTGAACGTTTAGGAGTCAGTGATCCACACATCAGCTTTGGGCTGGGCTGCACACCTGGTGTGGCTTCCAGGTCTCCACTGGGTCCACGGACCCCATGGCTGCAGGACACCTCCATCAGCTCATCGTAATGGAGGAGCCTGCAGGCAGCTCCCACTTGGCACTGATTGCCCCACCTGCCTGGCCTTGCCTTTATCTAACAGAGCAGCAACAAGTTCTCATGAGAACACCCTTTAGAAAGAGGGTTGTTTTCTTGTAAGGGAGTTAGAAAATAGGTCAAGTGATTAATGGAGGAGCCTGCAGGCAGCTCCCACTTGGCACTGATTGCCCCACCTGCCTGGCCTTGCCTTTATCTAACAGAGCAGCAACAAGTTCTCATGAGAACACCCTTTAGAAAGAGGGTTGTTTTCTTGTAAGGGAGTTAGAAAATAGGTCTAG